AATGGAGATTTTGCAATGTCCTTCCCACAGGAGTGGGGAGGGAATGGAGATTTTGCAGTATCCTTCCCTTGCCACGCCCACCAAGCCACGCCCTCAGAACCAGTAGTGAAAAAAAAATTGAATTTCACCACTGCCCTTGAAGGACTGTTTCTCTCGGTTGTTTCTATCCATCCAATTTGGTCAGGCAAGCTGAACATGCTTCAGTTCCCATTGACTGAGGAATGCTGGTTGGTGGAGACCTACAGACACACTGTCAGGATTCCAAGTAATACACCCTTTTCAATCATCGTACTGCCCCACCCCCTATGGAACATTCTCCCTCTGGAGATCAGGATGAGCCCAATCCTGCTGGACTTTTGCAAAGCCTGTAAAGAACTGGCTCTAGGCTTGTGGTTCCAAGTGTGTGCAGACACCATTTTGTTGTTGTTGTTGTACTAATGATTATGAGATATTCTATTTATTTATTAAGCATATACAGCCTGTATTATTATAAACGTCTCAAGGTGGCAAGCATACCTAATACGCCTTCCTCCTCCTATCTTTCCCATAACGACAATCCTGCAAGGTGGGTTAGGCTGAAAGTAAGTAATTGGCCCAAAGTCATCTAGCTGTCTTTCATGCCCAAGGCGGGACTAGAATTCACAGTTCCCTGCTGATTGGCCCAAAGTCAACTAGTCGGCTTTCCTGCTCAAGACAGGAATAGAACTCACTGTCTCCTGGTTTTTAGCCTGGTGCCTGAGCCACTAGACCAACCTGGCTCTCTTATGCATTTTGAAATTTATATTATTATTGCAATTGTTTTTACTTTCACTTGGTTTGCCACCCAGAGTCCTTGTTGAGAGATGGTTGGCCCTATAATTTGAATTAATCATTAAATATGTGCAACATTGCTACTTTGGGCTTGAACCAGGGGTGAGATGCTCTGAAGCCCGCTACTGGTTTGCTTCACGGGTGCAGGCACTACCGTGCAGCGCCGAAAAAGGAGGATTAAGAAGCCTTTTCTGAGTCTGCAAAGGTAAGTAGAACAGCAGGGGGGGTGGACAGCTGTGCTGCACAATTTAGATTAGCCACGAAGCAGGATTTCTTGCTTTCTAGTGAATATAAATTGTGCAGCACAGCTGACTATTGCACAGCTAATCGCTAGAACTACTGGTTCGCCCGAACTGGTAGCAGTTTTTTACTACCAGTTCGGGCGAAGTGGTCTGAACCGGTAGCATTTCACCCCTGGCTTGAACCTTCAGGGAACTGAGGGCTATGAACTGATCATCCCTTTGAAAAGGATATGGAATTCACACCCTCCAGAGTGTTCTGGTTTGATGAACTATACTTTGCTGAAAAGGGACCACAATGGGCTGAATCCTTAAGTGCATCCAGCCAGCCATTGTGATTTACAACTGCAACGGCTGAGCTCACACAAAGCACTAAGCCAAACCTAAACAAACTGTACGACAGCTGAGCCGAAGGGTGAAACACGCCTGTATGAACTGGGTGTGCGCGCGCGTGTCAAATTGAATTATATGTTGTCTTAATAGCACAAAGCTGTTTATCATCCAATTTTTGGCAAGTCGGCTCACAGCAGATGTTAAAGAAAGCCATCCTCCATCCAGACTTGGTTTCTATGTGCAGCGGATGCAGAACTGAAAGAAGTACAGGTAGCCCTCGATTTACGACCACCAGGACCCCTGCGATCGTCATAAACACAAGTCATTTGCCAGGCATCTGGAGTTTTGATCATGTGACCACAGGGGTGCTGCAGTGGTTCTAAGGGTGGAAAATGGTCGTAAGTCGCTTTTTTCAGTGCTACTGTAACTTTGAACAGTGACTCAAGGAACTGTTGTAAGTCAAGGACTACAACACCCTTGTATTATCTATAGGAAGGGACGCTATTTTTAAATTAAATCCCTAAAGTGGCTTTTAAACCAACTGTTTGCATTCTGCATGTTTCCACTGCCACAGGGAAAAAAGCTCGCAATTCGGGAGTTACTTCTTAAAATCGTGAGGAGAATTCAGAGCTGGTTTCCCATCTACAATAGAAAGATTCCTCCCTGAGGTAAATGTTTGGAGGCTGCATGCATTAAATAGGAGCACGAAGGCACGCATGGCTGAAAACGCCTGGTCTGTAATAGAAAAAGGCTCTAACCCTGCAGCAGCCACATCAGGCACCACAATCTCAATATCACACTTCGGTTTGAGCTCCACAGTGATCTGCTGGAGGTCATCTTCCGCTCGGGTCTGTTCGCGAATCCTGCAGAAAAATAAATAAACAAATAAATAAATAAATAAATATCGCTCTTCAGAAATCTAGTATAGGCAGTCCTTGAATTATGATTGGTTGATCAGTGACCATTTGAAGCTCTGACAGACACAGACACACCAAAAATACCGTATTTTTTGTAGTATAAGATGCAACTCCCCTCCTAAAAGAATGTGAAAATGTTGGTGCATCTTATATACCAAATACAGCCATTGTTGGCCTCCCAAAGCCCCGCCCCCACATCTGATTTTTGCAAAAAATAGGCCGCTTTTCTGCAGGCTTCAGCAGTGCTGGGGAAAGGCAAAAATGCCCCCCATTTTTTGCAAAAAAANCCTGCAACTCTTCTTCATATGTTTTAGCCTCCAATCCACTAATCATCATTGCTGCTCTTCTCTGCACTCTTTCCAGAGTCTCAACATATATTTTTTATTCTTGGCGACCAAAACTGAATATTCCAGCCAGAAAGGTTCAATTTTCAAAAGGAGGGGGGAATTAAACCCTGGCATTGAAAGGAAGGAGGCCAGAAAATGTAATGGTTGCTTTGGGGAACTCCAAGAATGCTGGGAAGGAAAAACCCAGGCCAAGGCTAGCAAATGGCCAAAGTCCCTGCCCATCTTTTGCCTATGCAGCATGTCCTACCTAAAGGGAACAACAGGAGAGGCCGAGCAGGCAAGCCAGGGGGAACACATAGCTTCTTCTACCTACACCACCACAATGGAGGAGGAGAGAGAACTTTGAATTGCCAAAAGGGGAGGCGTAAAATCAAATCTTTCCTCATTCCCCTTTTAAAAAAACCCTCCTCCTCCAATAGCAATAAAGACTTATATACCGCTTCACAGTGCTTTACAGCCCTCTCTAAGCGGTTTACGGTGTCAGCCTCTTGCCCCCAACAATCGGGGTCCTCATTTGACCAACCTCAGAAGGATAGTCAACCTTGAGCCAGTGAGAGAATCGAACTTCTGGTTGTCAGCAAAATTAGTCTGCAGTACTGCATTCTGACCACTGCGCTACCATGGCTCTAACACAGAAAGCTGTTTTTTGCATACTATTCAAAATTTTCCTTCAGGCTTGCCGACCAGGAGTGTGTGTGTGTGTGTGTGTGTGTGTGTGTGTGTGTAATTTTTTTTTTAAAAAAAACCTGTTTCCAGATTGGGAAAAAAATCTTGATGCAGGGCAGAATAACCTCTAAACCAGGGGTCTCCAACCTTGGCAACTTGATGACCTGTGGACTTCAATTCCCAGAATTCTTTCTATGCTGGCTGAGGAATTCTGGGAGTTGAAGTCCACAAGTCGTCAAGTTGCCAAGGTTGAGGATCCCTGCCCTAAACCATGCCATTGTCCCTGCCCTAAACTTCTGCCAATTACCTCCCTGAGACCAATTAGATCACACAGATTGGGCCTCCTCCGTATTCCATCGGCCAGCCAGTGTCGG